ACCTGGCGGCTTTTATAACACTGAAATTTAACTAACATTTTAATTTACGTCTTCTTCCGCTTGCAGCTCCATCTGTTGCTAACTTTTGAAACTACATTTTTTCTTCTGCCATACGCTTTCCCGCCTTTCTTCAATAATATTCCTTTCAAATTTGGCATTCATTTTCATGAGTGGTTCTTTTTTTTATAGCGTTTTGAAACATAAACTTTAATTATAATCACCCTGTATATATGTATAATATTCACTATGATACTGAATATTATATATCTATTATAATATTCAATATTATACTGCTAATTTTTAGAATAATTCTAAATGATTATTATTATTACTTTATCAACTTTTTTAATTTTCAGTGGTACAAATAATTTGAAATAATTAAATTTGTGCCTCACCTAACTGGAAGCAAACAGAAACATAACTGATTATGCTAGAAAAAAAGGTGACATCATTGTTAGATTCTTTCACCTCTTGGAAAACTTTGAATCTGACAGTGATAATGCATCTTTTTTCCTTCATAAATTTATATTGTGTATTTTTTTTTTTATTTTATTTTTATTTATTTTTACATATTACTTTTCCAGTTCCAGGTTAATTTAGTAGCTTCCACTAACTTTACGTAATAATTTTTAATAATTTTATTAAGTTTGAACTTTCTATTTCATCTTTTGCTTGTTCGTTTTCATTTAACTTAATAATTATTTTATGTAAATCTTAGCAGCAATTGTATAGGATATTGTTTTGAAAGATCTATATATGTATTTTTTCGATTTTATTAATATTAATATACAGAGTGATTCTAAATTGTTTTTACAAATTAAGAGGGGTAATAGTACCCATCCAAAGAAGCAATAATTACCATAGAACATAGGGTCATATTCCACTGCGAGAGGCAGAAAAGAGGAATATTACAATTCCAACCCGAACTTAAAACAGTGTTGGGAAAGGCAGCGAACAAGACCAAAAGTTGCGCAATCAGATTTATTGTTTAGTGAAAAACTCATAGAAAGTGCTCAATGTTGACCACTCATGTTGTTTCACAGTTGACATTGGCAAAGGACCAACTGGAGCACCATCTCAAAGAAAGATCAAACCCAGAAGAAAGAGTCCAATGGATTGGGGTCCGGTGAGTGAGGAGACCAAGTCATAGGTCCGCCATCTCCAATCCATTGTGTGGTATATATGACATTCAAAAGTTATGGACTGCAAGTGAATGTGCAGGGACTCCATCGTGAATAAACCACATGTTTCTTTGTATAGGGAGCGGAACAGCCTGCAATAAATTGAGAAGCACTTGTTCCAAGAAGATGTGATATGTTGCACCGTCAAATGGTCTCACATGATGTAAGGGCCTGCCCAGATGTTCACAGAAAATTTCTGCCTGTGTTTCTGAGGAGTATTTCTCTGGGGATTTCTGGCAGACCAAACATGTTGATTGTGCATGTTGAAAATGCCTTCTGTGCTGAAAGTTACCTCTTCACTAAATAATATTAAAGCAGGAAATTGTAGATCGCTATTCTTCATTCCAAGCATCCACTGCAAAGTCTGCCTGGCAGGGATAATCATCTGTGTCCAAAGATTGCACTTTTTGCACATAGTAGGGGTGCATTCGTTCCTCGTGTAAAATACACCCAATCATTGGCTGAGAAATACCTATTTTGTATGCCACTGCTTGTGTACTTGTGAAAGGAGCTGCTTCAAATCTACTCAAAACTCGCTCTTCCATTTTTGGCGTTTGTGCGTTTCGTGAACGTCCTACATTGCTTTTTGAGATGACAAAAGAACCGGTTTCTCGTAGTCTTCGATTGACACTGGAAAAGGTTGGATGACTTGAAATCTAACAAGTTGGAAATCGCTGTTCATGTAGTCTTCGTGCTTTCCATCCATTCCCTTTTGCTTAACCGTATGTGAGGTGAATATCTGCCAATTTCTCCTGCATGTACTCGGCCATGGCATTCACAAAAAGTTTCAGATGATGTAATCAAGGTAATACTCAAAGCGATGATGTTGTGCTGTTTTCAAGTATACTGTTTGCTCTGATTGGCCTTCTTTGATACCAAATAAGAACAAAATGCTGCTTCTTCTCAATGCAAATTTGCAAACTGTTAATTCTTGACAATCTTAGATAGTTTCCTTGTTCTTCCTGTTTCTACTTTCTTCTTTTCTGCCTCTTGCAGTGGAATGCAACCCTATGTTCTATGATAATTATTGATCGTCTAGATGGGTACTATCACCCTTCTTCATTTGTAAAAACAGTTTAGAATCACCTTGTATATATATATATACAGATGGAGGACAAAATAATAGGAACACCTGTGAAATAATGGATATTAATAGGGGGTTGGACCACCCTTTAACTGAAGTACAGCTTGAATGCGATGTGGAATAGATGCATAATGGTCATAGAGAATATTTAAAGCAATATTAAATCATTCCTCCTGCAGAGCGGTCTCTAATTCCGAAAGTCCGGAGGGAGGTGGAAAATCGGGAAGGAAGTTTGGATTCCAAATATGCCCATAAATCTTCAATAATATTCAAGTCCGGAGACTGAGGGGGCCAAGCGAGATGTTCAATTGCATCATGATGCTCTTCAAACCATTCTTGAATACACCTAGCAGTGTGGATAGGGGTGTCGTCGTCTTGAAAAAGAGGTCGCTTTCCAGGGAATACAGTCTGGATAAAAGGATGTACATGATCCTCTGGAATGCTTAGATAGTGATTAAATGTAATCCTCTCATGCAGAATAACAAGTGCCCAAGAGCACGCCAAGATATCGCACCTCATACCATAATGGTGCCACCCCCATGCTTCACAGCTGGCAAGAGGCAGTCAGGATGAAACGCTTCTTTGGGCGTTCTCCAGAAATAAACGCATCCGGTCATCTGAAATGAGGGGAATGACAATTCATCTGACCACATTACCTGTTGCCACTGTTGTGGGGGGCTACCCTTTGTGATCCCTGCACCACTGGTGTCGCTTGAAAGCATTAGTTGCTGTCACAAAGGGTTTACGCATTGCCACTCTGCCATAAATGTTCACAGCATGAAGTTCCCTTTTGACAGTTTTTGTTGAAATGGGGTCCTGGAGATGACTGTTCATTTCGGTAGTTATCTCGGATAGCAATTGCTTGTGCTTTCGGGCTACTATGCGCTTCAAAACCCGTCTATTCCTATCAGCCAGCTTTGACTTTCGGCCACTGTTGTGCTTTGAAGACGTCGTCTTACCCTCTTTCCTGTATGCTGTCATAACGGCTGATACCCACACTCCTTGCACACCCCACAAGGTTTGCTGTTTCCGTAACCGATGCTTCACTTAAACACGCTCCAACTATCATTCCTCTTTGGAACTCTGACAGGTCTGACATTTCAGCTTCTCATAGACAGTTCTATCGAAGCACGCAACGCAAATGACTACTGTTGAGAGACTGATACCTTCCTCTTCACGCTCTCTAGGTGGCAGACTTCTGTTGCAGGTGGCATGGCTGTACTGCAGGTGTGAAATACATCTTACTTTTTTACAGGTGTTTGCATTATTTTCTCCTCCATCTGTATGTATGTATAGTATGTACACACACACACACTTATAAAGTGGTAATTATGCTTAAGTATATTTTTTCTTTCTCTTAAATACTTCATGCTCTTTTATAAAGTATTTAAGAGAAAGATCATTTATAAATCAGAATTAGTGCATGAACTCCTCAGTTTGTAAAAGAAAAATATATAAAATAGGTTATTTTAAAACTCAGTAAGTTGTATTGGCAAGAAAAATATTCACTAAGTAAATGTGCGTTTAGCACAGGAGTGGACAAATGTTGGCATATGGCTTGAATGCCACCCTTCTATTTACTTAATTCGACCCATTAAAAATCGTGTGCAATGACATTTTCATCTCTTTACTACATAATTTTGTATGCAAACTACTGAAATCAGCAGCATAAGTGCACCTATACAGCCTGTATATGCGTGACCAGTGATCAACCTAAGCAGATACAGTCAAAAGTCTTTAATCCGGACTCATCGGGACTTCGGCGATTCCGGATTATCGGTTTTTCTGGATTATAGATCATCAATTTAAATCTCGTAAGATGGCATGTAGAAATTATAAAATTAAAAATATGAAACCGTAATTTATGCAATAAAGAGCAATTATGATCTAAAGAGTATCAAAATAAAAAAAAAAAAAGCTTAATATTTATTTGTTTACTTTATTAAACATTTCTTTCAAACACAACCAGAAAACTATTTGATGTGTATTTGTGATATTTTATAATGATGAGGAATTTGATTTAAATCATATCAAAGACGGAGTACATCGAGATGAAATACTACATTTAGTAAGGAATTATAAGCCGAATAAAATAAAAACATCTGCCCTGAAGATAAGGATAGTGCTGACATATCAACTTCCAGTTCATTGGGTGCTGCGACATCCTCCCCCGCAGCGTGAAATTGATAAACAGGTTTCAGAATGGTTAGAGAAACAAAGGATATGCCTTTATCCATTTTTTGCAGCAATTCCACTTTTTGTATGATGGTCATCGAAACATGCTTTCACTTTGTAGATCGTTTGGCAGCTCCAGAATTGGAAATTCTTTTTGACATAATTGAAAGTTCAAGCTTACTTTTATAAAATTGCTCTTACAGTCTACCAAAAATAATAAGCTGGATCAAATTAGAAGATTAAGGAATAACGCAATCTGCAACATTAACTGAAATAGATAATTAGATAATTTTAGCTTATCTTATACCGTCCGTTATACATTAAACGCACATTTGTAAACGTATTTTGCGCATGCGTACATGTATATTTGCAGACGTATAGGTCTTATGAGCATGCGTCAACACGACGCATGCGCAGAAAGTTTGTAGCTCTGAGGTCCGGATTATGGGTGTCCGAATTAACGACTTTTGACTGTACTTCCACTTGTGGACAGGGTGTATGTGTATCTGTGTGTTTGTATATGTATAATCCTTGAAACTGTTGTCTTTTTATTCTTGCAGTCTGGAAACTTAAGTGAAGTATCTGAGGAAATGAAAAATCTTGTAACAGTGCTTCAAGACACAAAAGAATTGTTGCAGATCTTCAAAATGTCTCCTTCTCATGGTGATGCTGGGGATAATAGTTACCTGTCTCATGTAAGTAATTTCATCCATTCCATTATTCATCCACTTTTAGCAATTTTTAAAGGAATTGTGAACTTAATGGTTCTTGAAATAGTGACTCTCAACCTTTTTTGTAACATTTTATTGTGTATTTTATGGTTTATACTAATTTTTTTTTTAAATTCAGTTTGATGCATTTGAAACAAAATAGAAGACTGATAGATGACATTTTACTTTACTTTATTTTAAAAGTACATATGTAATTTGAAAATTTATTGTGTATAATAAATATATATTTAACTTATGAGTTAAGTATTATGTACACTACACAAAATAAATAAATAAATAAATAAATGAATTAAAAATGAAAGAGGGGGACAGTTCTGTATCTCCCTTTCTACTGGGCTGATTGACGAAATTCAAATTGTGTTTTTCATGTCTTGAGAAAGCGCGACTTAGGATATATATTAGATTTATATATAGCGTTATTCTAACACAGGTATTTTAACACAAAATCAGACTTTTATTGAAATAACATATAATTTTTTCCATATTTTAATTGTAGACTCAAATTATGCCTAGATATTAAATTTTGTAATTTTTGGTGAGAAATTTAAAAATTTATCTTGGTGGATTTTTTTTTTTCAGGTTACGCCAAGAATAATTCATTCGGTGGAATTTTTAATTTTTAGTAACCAACTTACTTTTCTTATTTTTCATTGATGCACAAGAGGAAAAAAGGTCCATCGTTCATTCTTTCAAATAATTCTAATAAAGTGCATAAACCACATTTTCGTTATTATCGCTTATATTAAATAGACCAAATTTCAAAATGCACCAAAATGTAAATTCCCATACATCTTAGGAAACTTTGAATAAAAAAACTCTCATTTTTAGCAGGTGTACTTAGAAATAGATCTATTTTAAGATGATTTTAAAAATTTTATAGGTTATAATGCAAAATTTTTTTCGAAAAATTTAAGAAAAATATTTAAAAAATAAAAATGTTTTAAAATAAATAAATAATACAAAAATGTTCAAATTATGTTTGGATTAATCCTAAATTTTGAATTCTGGAAGTAGGAATCAAGTTAGTTTAATAAAAAAAAGAGATATTAATAAATACAGTACAAAGTCCGTAATCCGGATGTCCATTATCCGGAATGATCTATAATCCGGACCTCAAAGCCACAAACTTTGCGTATGCATGTAGAAAATGCGCATACATTGTTGAAGGTATTCATGGTTCATTTTTGTTTACCATTACAACTTCGCTAAATCGAGATGAGCAGATGAATAAAACAGAATTTAAGTTCTTACCTTAATAAAGTGTAATTCAAGCTACGAATGTAAGGAATATGATCATTATATTAGCAAACACAAAATAACATATTTATTAGGTATTAGAAGAAAAAATATCTAGCGATGGTTACAAACGTTGTTTACTGTCCATTGCATAACGCGAGAAGTGAGTCATACAAGGAGAGAATGTTCTCCTTCTTTTGGATCAAGTCCAATTACAGTTAGCGGGGGTGAGGGGGGAAATTAATGTCGGAGTGTACAGCTTCATCGCTGTCATTATGAATTGCTCCACAATCTCCCACTCGATGAGATGTTTCGTCCGGAGTAAAGACAATTCCTTTTAATAAATATTCCAGCTCTTGTCTGGACAAGGGTTTCGTGAACATGTCTACATACTATCATTTTACTGTTGCAATTTAACCTTGATTCCTTGATATTGTAGATCACATACGTAGTGATATTTCACATCAATGTGTTTGGTGTAACTGCTTCCTTTTTCTTCTCTGGAAAGATTTATGCATGATATATTTTCCTCGTATATGATGTTAGCTTCCTGTTGAGCAAAACCTAAATCTTCCATCAGTTGTCTAATCCATTGTAGCTCCTGCAAGGTTAAGGCTAGAGCGATGTATTCAGCTTCTGTCGAAGATAGGACGACAGAATTTTGTTTCTTGCTGCCCCATGATACCGTACTGTTTCCTATTTGAAATATGTATCCGGATGTGGATTTTTTGTCAGAGGTATCTCCTACCCAACAGCGTCACTGTAATCTTTGATGACTGGTACACCGTTGGATTTTATATATAATTTGTAATTAATTGTAGCTCTCAGATATTGTATGATTTTAATGATACCATTCCAGTCTGATGTTGATGGATTTTCTACTTTTCTGCTAAGTATTCCAACAGAATTTGCTATGTCAGGTCTTGATACTGTTGCTAAAGATAAAAGTGCTCCCACTGCTTCCCTATACTTCCGATTATCGGGAAAAACGTCACCCTGGTTGTTTTTGTTTTTTGTAAAATTCGTAGTCATGGGTGTATAGCTTAGTTTCTTTAGTGACTCTCCGTCGAATTTTTCGATCATACTCCTAATCTTGGTTAGCTTGATGAAGTTTAAAGCTTTTCGTCTTTTTCTCTTTCGATTTCAATTCCCAGATATGTAGATACTTCTCCAAGATTTCGAATGTCGAAATATTCTTTGAGAAGTCGTTCAACTTCTTGAATTGATTCATGCTTGTCGCTTCGCGACTAATATGCCATCAACATAAACGATTATATAAGTTCTTGTATTGTTCTCGATTAGTGTGAAGGAACATGGATCAGCTTTTCCTTGAACGTATCCTTGTTTGCACAGGATTTCAGCCATCTTGTGTTTCCAGTTTCTGGCTGCCTGTTTTAGTCCGTAGATACTTTTATTCAGTTTACAGACTGTATTTGCTTCTGAAGCAGAGATGTAACCTTCTGGTTGCTTCCTATATATATCTTCTTTCAGATCTCCATATAGAAAAGCTGTTTTTGCATTGAAGTGATTTACGTGCATCTTCATTTGAGCTGCTATTGCCAAGACGGTCCTTATTGTGGTATACTTTACAACTGGTGCGAATGTTTTGTCATAGTCGTGCCCAAATTTTTGGCAATATCCTTTAGCTACTAAACTAGCTTTGTATCTGATAATATTTTCTGAAGCATCGGATTTTGTTTTGAATGTCCATTTGTTTCCAATTGCCTTCTTTCCTTTTGGAAGATCGACTAGTTCCCATGTTTTGTTTCTCTTTAGTGCTTCCATTTCTTCTTTTGTAGATTTTAACCACAGTTCCTTTTCTTTGGTAGGAAAAGTTTGCAGTTCTTGCCAGTCTTTAGGAACTTTGATTTCTTCATTCTTAGCCATGTATGAGAATCTGTTTGGTGGGATTCCTTTAGTCGTTCTCTGGGATCTTCTCGGTAATAGGAGAATTTCTTCTGTTTCAATTCCTTCCTCTGTCGTAGCATTTGGACATGGTTCTGTCAATTTATTTTCTTTAAAAGGCCATTCTATTTTCTCATTCTGATCATTTAATTGACGAGGCATTTCTTCTTCTTTGTTTTCATCGAATATTACGCTTCTTCTGATCACGACATTGTTTGCATGTGGCATGTAAATTCTATATCCTTTAGTATGGTCACTATATCCAACAAGAATTCCTTTTTCTGCTCTTTCATCTAGTTTGCTTCTTTTCTGCTTTGGAACTATACAATAAGCTGTACTGCCAAAAACTTTGATATGGCTTAGATTCGACTTCTTATTATTCCATAGCTCATACGGTGTTTTTTCAACTGATCTTGATGGTAGCCTTTTTTGTAGATAGGTGGCTGTCATTACGGCTTCACCCAAAATTCTCTTTTGAGTCCTGAATCGAGTAGCAGGCATCTTGTCATTTCCATTAAGTATCGATTTTTTTTTTCTTTCTGCTGTACCATTCTGCTGCGTGAATATGCTACGGAGGTTTGATGTTCGATTACTTCTTCCTTTAAATATTCTTCAATCTCTTTGCTTGTATATTCTCCTCCATTGTCTGTTCTTAAGATTTTTGGCTTCTTTGCAAATTTGTTTTCTTCATGGTTACAAATTGTTTTGATTTGGAGATAGCTTCATCTTTTGCAGTCAGCAAATAGATCATTGTGTATCTCGAATGATAGTCGATGAATGTTATGAAGTATTTCTTTCCTCCTAGTAATGTTGTACCGATTGGTCAACAAATACCTGAAAGTATCAAGTCTAGAACTGACTTTGCTCTATAGTTGCTGAGCCTGGGATACGGCAATTCACATATTTTGCATCTGATACAGCATTCGCATTCTTTTTCCTTTTGGCTTCTCCTTCATCCTTATTCCGATTGCCAGGTCATCATTCTTTAGCCTCTTGATTGCTCCATAATTTCTGTGTCCTAGTCTTCTATGCCAAAGATCTATGATATTTTCACTTCTTTCTGCAGCTGCAATTTTGGCTTTTCTTCTTGAGATTCATTTATGGTATATAAAATTCCTTCTGCTTTAGCAATTCCTATGATTTTATTTTTCTTCTTTACTCTGCAAATATCCTCTTCAAATTCAACTGTAAATCGTTTTCTTTGTAATTTTTCGTACGGATATCAATCCTCCTTCTAGGTCAGAAACGCACAGAACATCTACGAGTCTCACTTCTATTTCGCTATCTTCCGTCGTCTGTACAGTATAAGTATCCTTCCCGATACCTTTCGGACTTCATCTGCGTGCCGTTAGCAATTGTTATTTGCTCAATTTTGCTTCTATCTAATTTTGTGAAAAGGTTTATATTATCGCTCATATGACAAGTAGCTCCTGAGTTAATTGACCAGTTTGAGTTTTCAAATTTTCTTTCTCTGGTGACTTCAAACATGTAATTCTCAGTCTTCTCAAGAATTCTTACTTTCGTTTTCATCTTCATGTTCTAATCCTCGTTTACAGCAACTTTCGTTTTCTATTTATTTCAATTATTTCCTTTATTAGTTTGCTTTTCATTCTTGAAAAATGAGTTACTTTCGTTTTATTTATTTATTTATTTATTTATTTTTATTTAAGAATCTGCATTCTTTTCCAAGTGTCCTAATCATTTGCAATAATTGCATTTTCATTGATTGAAATGCCTGAATTTGTGTTAAAATTCGTTTTGAAGGCAGTTGTTTCTTCTGTTCGCGTGCCTTCTTTTCTTCTCATGCATTCGTCGATGAGTTT